ACTTGTAAGAGGAAGGAAACTTACTGGGTTATTAGCACATAATAACCCAAGTTTGTGCAAAATAAAAAGCTCCCCCTTGGGAGACTGTGGACCTGTTAGTTGAGAGCACCTCCCTTGGGGAAGTCAAGTCTCTGCTTCCTCTCACAGGTGCCTCCGGCTCAGGGAAGGGTTAGGGGCCCCAGAGCCTCCAGCGGCCACAGAACCAACAAATCTTGTCCACACACCAGTCCTGGAACCTGTTCTAGATCAGGATACAGGTGCTGAGAAGCATGACCTCAGAACTTGATTCTTACAGCCCAAGGAGAAAGAAACCCCAACACATTCCCCTAAACAGTCAGATATTATGCTTTTATCCAGATTGGAATATGCGTTCGTGTATATTTTCATCTTTGGAACAGGTGGTTAGAAATGCAAATAAAGTAATAAGTGTCAGAGCTGTATCCTAGCAGTAGCTACTTTGCAAACGTTACCATGGCACCAATTCAGCAGTGTTCTTAGAAGCAGCCACACCTCAGCAAGTTCCTTCTAACTTGGGACAGCAAAGTTCAGATGAACTAACAGGCACAAACCGTGAACGAGTCCTGAACCGATATAGGAGGTGACTCTTCACAGCACAATTGCTGTCTGAAGCTACTTATAACAGGGCCTAGAACTTAAAGAGGGAAAAAGAAGAAAATGGACCACCTCCTAGAACACCTGGAGTGTGATCCGAGCCTGGAGACAAAATGACGGTAATTATAACTGCTAACATTTGTTTTTAGCTGCTAACAGATTGTGCACAGATTGCGAAGGGCAAACTCTATTCTCCAATTACTCCAGTGCAAACTGTGCTTTACCAGTGCTCACTGAATCCTGGCTGGGTGAAAAGAAAGCAGATTGCCCTCGTTTATGTTCAAGTAGAGAGAGAGCTGTCCCCCAGCTGCAGTCCGGGCCACTCCCGACTGGACAATGGAGCTGGGTTATGGAGAGCTCACTTCGCGCCGCCCGTGGGTCTGCTCTTCCGGGGGCGAGATGCATTTCCCGAGCACAGGCAAAGCAGAAGGAAAAGGACTAGGCGCCAGGGACACGGGATGCTGGGGAAACGAGTCTCAGCCAGCCCAGCCTATGACCAGTCAAGGTCCCTGAGGTAGGTCCTGGGCCAACCAGAGCCTGTCTCCGCCTGGTTAGTGGAGAGGGGAAGGACAGATACCAAATGCTAACAACACAAGACAGTCTGTGATCAATGGCTAGCTGGTGATGTGAGCCACAAATTCTGTCAGAATTCAAAGAGGGCAGGAGTTCTTTCCTGCTCCCACTTCAGATGCAGGAGATCGAAGAACAATCCCAAAAGAACACTGAAAAGTGAAGACCTCGACAATAGGGAGTCGCAATGGGCCGACACTGAAGAGAAGTAAACTCCAGAGCCCCCTCCATCAGGAAGGCTACTAGTCCTTAAGACCTGCCTAAGGACGGCAGTGATGCACCGGTCATGGCTACAGGAGCCCCAGGAGAGCAAGGAGTGCTCAGAAAAGCAGTCGGGAGCTTCCACACTGCCCTTGTCTTCAAAGACGCAAGGACCTCCGCTTCCCAAAAGGGTAATTCTGGGACCACTGTATGTAGTTGATTCCACTCACACACACACCAAAAAAAGCAGAAAAGGGCCTCTTGGTACTGCTTCCGTAACATTTTAGCCAAATCGATCTGTAAATTTTCTGAGTGAACTGAAATTGTAATTTAGGAGTGACTTGGATATCAGGTGTGCCACCCAACAGCAGACCACGTCCACGGCACGATGTTCAAAAGCGAGTGAGACTTTGGGCTTGGTTGCAGCAAGTTTTGATACTCAGAGAGACCCAGTGCAGGGAGTAAGACTGCGAGAGCTGGAGATGCTGGGAGAAAACAACGCTCAGGATCACGGCGGAGATAGTGTCAGGTCTCAGGTGACGGGTCCACTGCCAAGGGTTAAGCAGAAAGAGTCCAGGGGCCCGAGGAAAAGCTATGAAATGTCTAGGAAGCCTCGGGGCAGGAACTCAGTTGCAGCAGGAAAATACAACTCTTAGGAGGAAACTGAGGCAAACCCTCAATCCCATGGACCAAGTCGACATGACAGAGGTTAGGAGAACTCTGGGATATGATGGGTATGTGGTGCCAGGGATACTGCAGATTAGCCATCAGGGTAATGGTGACATGAGTCAAGTCACATTCCATCTAGAGCTGGACTGAGGTCCTAAAATATTTTCTGCCCAGGACAGGATTATATAAGGAACTCTGCAGGCTTCAGCCCGGAGATCAAATGCAGCAATGACTGAGGTGTTCTGGGCTTGGGGAAGACAGAGGTGATCAAAGTGTTTCCATAGGAGAGGCTGTAATAAATACTTCTGAAATGATCAATTAGATTTTAAAAAGTGAAAAATCTTGCATTGGTCACTTTATTTCTCTTAAATGTTCTGCTTTATCTTTTTTGTTGCCTAGATAAAATGTTAAATGTAAAAATGAAGACCATATATACTTGAAGAAAATATAGGTAATACTTAACTCCTCTTTGATGGGAAAGTCTTTTCTAAATTCAATAGTAAAAAATAAATCATAAGGATATCATACCACATAAAAATAAAAAATTTGGAACAACTGAAAACACCGCCAGCACAATTAAAAGGCTCTATAAACCAGGTAAAAAATGTGCAACAAATATGATGGCTAATATTCTTGACACACAAAGAGTTCTTGCAAATCAATAAGGAAAACCTCAAACAAAACAAAAAATGGCAAGGGATCAAATATATTTCACAAAAGAATAAATTCTACAGACCAACAAGAATGTGAAAAAGTGTTCAGCCACACTAGGAATTGAAAAGGTACAAATTATAACCACAAAGAGCTTAAATTCTTTTTTTTTTTTTTTAATCCTCACCCGAGGTCATTTTTTTTCGATATTTTGTTCAGATAGAGTGGGAGGGAGAGAGAGAGAGAGAGAGAAACATCGACGTGAAAGGGACACATTGAGTGGTCGCTACCCACACGACCCAATCAGGGCTAGGGACAAACTGCAACCAAGGTACGTGCCCTCAGCGGAAACCGAACCCGGGTCTCTCTGGACCACTGGCCAATGCTCTAACCACTGAGCCAAAACAACCAGGGCAAAGAGCTTAAATTCTTAAATTGGCAAAGGGGATTATAAACAATGGAAGAGAATGTAACAAAATTGGTACACCTTCCTAGGAAACGATGTGAGAAAGTTTGACCTAATAATATGACTTCTAGTATCTACATTTAAAAAAAGAATCAGAGATATGAACAATGTATTTAAAGAAATATTCACCAAAGTGTTATTTATAATAATAAGAGACAAGAACCTGAATAGCATAGTTATGTAATAAAACAATAATTAACCATGAATGTTGTGTTTTTTGAAGAATGTTAATAACATGGGGACAATGCTTATGACAATACTAAGTGAAAAAGCAAAGTATAAAACATGGTTTTATTTATGTTATGCATAACACATATGGTAATAAGACCAGAGGGGATAGACTTGTTAATATGGTAATGGAAATGTAAACTGATACAAAAGGGCATGAGTTTTTATTTTTCCTTTATGTATCAGTATTATAAAAAAAATTCTACAAGAAACATGTAATACTTGGATAATAAGTTATTTTAAACCTATATTAAAATGCCCTAGGTTGTTGCTTGGGATTAATGATACCTGAAGGAATTTTTTTAAAGGAAAAAGAATTACTTAAAAATCTCAACATTTTGGTTTTAACATCCCAGGAACTATCTGAAATATCCTAAAGAACCATATTTGCTTTTAGAATAGTGAAGTTTACAAAATGCTCTAACAAAACCCACCTGCTAAAAATAAAACTCTCAAGTACTGATGAATGTGTATCCATGACCCAAAGAAAACAAACCTTCTACAAGAAGTCTCTACCAGCTAAATAGACTCCAAGGTCCTATTCCCCAAATGATACCCACCTCCAATTTATTGTCAATGATTAGAAGAAATAGTTGATTTAAGTAAGACACAAGCACACTCAAAACCTCTGCATGATATATTAGACACTATTACATTTAGAAAAGAGAGAAAGAACATTATAAATAAAGCCCTGTTTATTTCTTTGGACTTTCCTAAACAAGAAACATCTCAATACCCTAGGACTTGTACTATTACTACTAAGAGCTAAGTATTTACTGAGTCCTTACTATATCGGGCACATAATAAAGCAATGTATATTTATTCTATCAATCTTCAAGATAATCTTATGAGGTAGGAACTATTCCTAGGCTCATTTTACAGAAAAGGAAACTGTGGCTCCCTGAGGTTAAATAACTTGCCTACAATCACTAGGCTGCTAAGTGGCAGAGCCCTGACTTGAAACAAGGCAGTCTGTTTCTAGAACTTGCACCATTAACCCATTTGCTCTACAGCCTCAGAATCTATGGAACAGGTAAGGTGTATCATAGCTTTCCCTTTTGTCTCCTCCCCCTCCCTAGGAGTCTCAGTAAAGATGAATCCTGAGATTTCTAATCTATGAATATATAGCATTATCTTTTAGATGCAAAGATGCTACCATGGTTATCACACCACCTGCTTTAAAGAAAAATATGACTTGCCCTGGCTGCTTTGGCTCAGCAGTTAGACCATTGACCTGCGGTCCAGAAAGACCCGGGTTTGGTTTCCGCTAAGAGCACATACGTACCTCGGTTGCAGTTTGTCCCCGGCCCTGGTTGGGTTGTGTGGGTGGCAGCCACTCGATGTGTCCCTTTCACGTCGATGTTTCTCTCTCTCTCTCTCTTCCTCTCTCTCCCTCCTACTCTATCTGAACAAAAAATGGAAAAATGTCCTCGGGTGAGGATTAAAAAAAAAAAAAAACCACTTAAAAAAATAAAGAATAAAAAAAGGAAAAATATGACTCAATAAACTCATGCACTGTCTTTAGTTCTTCCTGTACTGGTTTTATATAAATATTTTTCTCTTCCTTGTTTAGGATTGCAGCTAGAAGACAATAAAACTAGCAATGGAGCCTTTATATGAGGAATACCTAGCAAACCGTGGAACAATAGTAAAACCTTATTACTGGCTGAGCTTCTCTCTAGATTGCTCTAATTGTCCTTACCATATTCGGACAGGGGAAGAAGCAAGAGTTTCCTACACAGAATTTTATCAGATTTTTGGATTCCCTTATGGGCCAACATATCCTCAAACAAAACACCTGACGTTTTATGAACTGAAAACTTCTACTGGGAGCCTCGTGCAAAAGGGTCACGCTAGCAGTTGCACGGTGAATAACACCCATCCAGAATCAATGCTGTTTGAGGCCAATGGTTATTTTGACTCTGCCGTATACAATAGTGAGGGCATCAGGCACATCATTCTGTATTCCAATGCCTCCCCTTGTAATGAAGCCGACCACTGCTGCATCGGCAAAATGTACAACTTCCTGAGAACGTTCCCAGATGTCACTCTTAGTATTTACTTCTCTCAGCTCTATCACACTGACCCCGATTTTCCGGCCTCGGCGTGGAACCGAGAAGCTCTCCGGAGCCTGGCGAGTCTCTGGCCAAAGGTCACTTTGAGCCCAATAAGTGGTGGGATCTGGCATTTTCTCCTCGACAACTTTGTGAGCGGTGTCCTGGGAGCAACTGTTTTCCAGCCCATTTTAACTGGGAGAGCGCTGGCTGACAGGCACAATGCGTATGAAATCAATGCCATAACAGGAGTGAAACCTTACTTCACCGATGTCCTTCCCCAGACAAAAGAGGATCAGAACATAACCGCGCTGGCAGCTTTAGAGAGCTACCCTTCCCACAGTCCCTTTCCGGGACAGTCTCCTCAAGGAACCAGTGGACAGCCACAACCCGATCTGACACCAGACCTCAGGGTTCCTGTCGTCTTTGTGCTGGTGCCTTTCAGAGACCTACCGCCAATCCACGTGGGTCAAAACCCACATAAACCCGGGAACGTCGTAAGGCACTTAAACACGCCTCAGATGTCATTCCAAGAAGCCAAGGACCTCAGCAGGCCTCCCATCGCAATGTCAGCGGAGACGGTGGAAATCACAGAACAGTCTGTAAGTAGCAACAAGGCAGATGAGAAGAAGAAGAAAAAGAAAGGGAAAAAATAAAATCTGCGTTCCTACAACATGAGACCAAACAACGACCGGGGGACTTATAAGATAGCCAACAAAAATCTGGAAACTTTTTCTCTTAGGAATGATCCAAGATGGAGATAAACTGATACACTAAAGGCAAAACCTGAATTATTTACCATCTTAACTATTATAAAGCTATGCTATTTTAAATATAATTCAAAATGTTTCCATAAGCAACTTAATATCTTTCCTTTATTTTAAAAGTGACAGTATCAAAATGGAGCCAATTAGTACCTTGAGAATATTTTGGTGTGAAAAAGAAAATGCCAGTATTTGGTCAACCCATATCATCTTTCCACTAAAAAAGCCTATGGACTAAATAGCTTCCTAAATTGGTTTTGGTATAAAAATTTACTACAAAATTGGAAAACAGCCTGAAGTTACTGGCATTCAGTGCTGTTTGCAAAAGCAAACCAGTGATTTTCCATTAATTGTTCATTATGAACAGAAGATTTTAGGCAGCCCTTTTTCTTTTTTCTAAAGTGGTTCAAAATAGTTTGGGGGGGGGGGGTGGAGCTCTTTTGCTAATTGATTAGACAGAGCTACAGAAATTGACTTTTGAAATGTAGCCACCTGCTCGGTTTGACCTTTCCCAGCTCAGACCTCTCACTCCTGAGTGGATGATAGAGGCAGGATGATACATGAGACTCACCAAAGGCTCCTTCCATCACACACCATGTAATATCCACGCCACTCTTACTGGCTTTCAAGGCTCCACCTCTACCTTCCTGTTGCCCTGTCTCATCAGCAAGACTGTAAGCTCCTACAGGTCAAACGCTGCCTCTTTCCCTTCTTTAGTTTCCCTTTAGAATCCAGCACATATCCAAGCAAAATATGGGTAGCAAGGCTGTAATCTACATCTCAAAACTTTACCAATCACTGCTTCCCAACATTTCTTCTCCATTCTAGCCAAGTGGCCGCTGAACTCTCCTGCAATGGACGTATTTTTTATTGTTGTTAGCACCCATCCCCCCTTCTTCTGATATAGCTCCCCAGGGCACAATTGGTTTTACTTCCCTTCTGACCACTTCTTTTTCACCAGTGCATATCTATATCTTCTCTTAAACTCTTGTTCAGAACACACTTCTAAGAAATGCTCTTTAACTAACCCTCTGAGCACGTACATTAAACCACTTTGCTTGTGTTTAATTAATTCCCATCTGCTGCCTCACTTCCCTCTCAAAAGACAGAAATGTTTAAAATAGGAATTTCTGTTGTGATTAAAATAAATAAAAATTTTTAAAGAAATTTCTGTTGTTAAGCTGAACTTTTTAATAGAATTATTGGGACAGAATTGCATTTTGGGTACATAGTAATTGTTATTTAAAGAGATACTTTTGAAGTTTATTAGATCGTGAAACTATGCCTACAATTTGGGAGGCAGACTGGCTCAGTTGGTAGAGCATTTTCCGATGCACCAAAGGTTTGCCAGTTCGATTTCTGGTCAGGGCACATAACCAGGTTGCAGGTTCAATCCCCTGTTGGGCTGCGTGCAGGAGGCAACAGATTGATGCTTCTCTCTCACATCAATTTTCTCTCTTTAAAATTAATTTAAAAATAAATAATAAATAAAAAGACCCCAACATGACTAATTCAGCACCTCTGATCACTATAAGAGTAGATTCAGGTGGGAAACTCGGCTAATGGTGTCAGTGGGTCTGGAGGCTTGGGAGCCAGCTCTGAAGCTTCTTGACAGATTGGCTGGTGATACCCCACCCACAGCAGCAGGCAGGACCTGCCCACCTCGTGGACTCCTCAAAAAGAAAAAGAAAAAGAAGTAGATCCAATTAGTTGCCATGAAATTTATCTCCAAAGTGGTCAAAAAGACCACAATATCAATCAGGCAACAAAGGATCCAGTTAGAAACATAGTCTGAAATTTATGATTCATTTGTATTTCAAGTATGAACCTGGGTATCAATGGTATATAACAAAGAGAGAAATATTGTCAGAACTATAGTAAAGAAGAGTGCTTTGGGCAGTTAAATTTTTGCACTGCTTAAGTAAGACTGGGGCTAGAAAGAATAATGTTAGACAAGTCATGAATCCAGGCCAAGTATTAAATAAAATACTGTTAAGAGAGCATAAAGATACATGGCCCTAGGCAAGTAGTCTCTATTTCCTCATCTGAAAAATGAGACATGAGCGAGATCATCTTTAAGGTTCCTTTCAGCTCTATCTGCTCTAAGATGGCATTTATCAGAGCAATAATTCCATGGAGTGATTAAAAGCACAAACTGCAGAATCTGACCGTCCTAATTCCCTTACCAGTCTACTTGCTAGTTGAGTATCATTGGCTGATTTACCTAATCTCTCTGAGCCTTCATTTTCTCATCTGTAAAATGGGTATACTAATTGCTAGGCCCTAGAGCTACTCCAAGGAGTAAACAATGTAAGTATAATAAACAGATTATTAACCAAGTGTCTAACAAACAATAAACACTCATTGAGTGGTAGCTATTATTAATAAAATATGAACAGGATGATAGATAGTAGAAAAGGATAAGAATTATAAGGTATTTCAAATTCTATCAAAACTATAAGTCTGAAATGACTATTTTCTATAAGATATAAAAGTACGTTTCTATAATTTGTGACAATCGGTTTAGGGTGAGAAAAAATGTTGATTGTAATATTTTGCTTAAATAGTTAATAGTAACAATGAGAAAAGCCATATGTTCATGGTCATGGAAGAAACTAAAATAATTGTAAGAAAACATTTTTTTGCAACATCTTGTCAATAAGTTGGCAATCTAGATGAAATGCATGATTTACTAGAAAAAATATGTTCTAAAACCGTCTCAAAAAACGAAAATCAAACAAGTCAATAACCACAGAAGATAACCATGATCAAAGATATACCTCTAAAAATATTAGCAAGCCCAGATCATTTTAAGCACATTCTATAACTTTCAAAGAAAAAATAGCATGGCAACTTTCTATTATTCAAACTATTCCAGAGCATAGGAAAAATAAAGGTGGAAATTTTCTCAATTCATCTTATAAAGCAAGACTAACCCTGATATCAAAACTGGATAAAGACAGCAAAAAGAAATAAAACTATGAACCAATCTGACTTATACATATAGATTCTGAAATTATATAAACAAAATAAACACTAATCAAATCTAGCAAGTACTTAAAATAGTAACCAAACAGAGTTCATTCTAGAATCGTAAGAATGGTTCCAGTGCAGAAAAATATACAAATATAATTTATCACATTCATAAATTAAAAGATCAAAAAACTATCATTAGATCCCCCAAAAAAGCATTTGATCACTTCAGTCACCATGCCTAAAGATCATAAAGCAACAGAAAATATAAACTGGTGAAATACCAAAGACATTTTCATTAAAACAGAAACTAAGAAGAAAAGCCTACTATCACCCAATTTTTTTTCAGTTGTTCTATATTTTTATTTTTTATTTTTAAATTACAGTTGACACATTATTATTATATCAGTTTCAGGTATACAACATAGTGATAATACATGATAATACATTTAATGGGCACATAAGTCTAGTGCCCGTGTCTATCACCCAATTTTTTAACATTGTCTTGAGAGTCTAATGCAATAAGATAAGAAAAATAAAAGTGATATAAATATTAGAAAAGAAGATGTAACTTATTATTATCTCAAATGTTATGCTTGTATACTGTGGCAAGAAATTTAAACATAAAACAACTGTTAGCATTAATAACAGATCCCAGTAGTGGCAAAGAATATGGAATAAGTAAATTTTTAAATCCATAACTTCCTTTGATATTATCATAAGTAGGTAAAAAAAATTATAGAAATATAGTCTCATTCACAAAAATGTTTAGCACCAAATTTTTTTCCTGAGACAAGAGTACAGATTTAAATTTTTTTAGTCTTTGAAGTACTAATATATAAAGAAATAAAGTTCTCGTTGTAAAATAGTTCCTCCTATTACTCGACTTCAATGTGTAATCATAAAATTATGTGAAGCTAAAATTAATCACAAAGAAAAAAACTTGAAGATTTGAAGGTTGGTGGTTTAAACACAGAATCAGTTCATTTGGATCTTAAGTAAAAACATTAAAGCATAATATAGTGTATGGGTAACATGCTAAAAAATATGTTTCTATTATAGTAATTATGTTGTTAGAGAACAGTGAAATTAAGTCATCATTACCAAAACTGAAATTTACATATTTTATATTTATAACACATATTTCACATATTTAATTAACACTGAGTTCACTGCCATTTCATAATAACCCTGCCATCCTGCGGGATTCAAGGTCTTGGTTTGCTAAGTATTCAGTGGCAAGTATGGGGTAAAGAAGTACATTATAGATAGAGCACTTGGTTTAAAATATATGAAAAGGCCCTGGCCGGTTTGGCTCAGCGGTTAGAGCATCAGCCTGCGGTCCAGAGAGACCCGGGTTCAGTTCCCGCTAAGGGCACGTACCTCAGTGGCAGTTTGTCCCCGGCCCTCGTTGGGTTGTGTGGGTGGCAACTACTCGATGTGTCTCTCTCACATCGATGTTTCTCTCTCTCTCTCTCCCTCCCACTCTATCTGAACAAAAAATGGAAAAATGTCCTTGGGAGAGGATAAAAAAATATATATATATGAAAGGAAAAATCAATTAAAGCATTGTTTTATCAAAACCTTCTAACCTCATGAAAATTCCAATTCAGTCTCACTTTGGTTTTAAACCAAAACAGGTTATTTGCACAATAAATAAAATGTCTTAAAACCTTATGGATCCTTTATTTCAGGGATAAGCATTTCTTCGGAAAATTAAAATAGGGAGAATAATATTACCTACAATGAATGAAGTCCTGTGATTAACATTAGAAATTTGTAATTTGCAAGAAAGTGTGTATTTTGTGTATTTTGTAATTAAAAAATAATTAAGGACAGGATTCTTCACATACACACAGAAATGTCTTTAATGCTTTAGAGGTAATTAATGTGTTCATTAAAAAATACTCAGTCTCACATTATTCTGTTAGGTTACTAATTCATTAAATAGAAATGTTGAGTACCTACCATGTACGAGGTACTTATTATGAGACAATAAAAAATATTGCATTGGAAAAGCATATTTTTGGCATTTTTACATCTCAAATGTAATATGCATTATGTGGCTGAGAATTAATTAATTGTATTTAACACATTTGAAATATGGAGCAAAATCCTGAGCAATCAAAAACAATTATACCCTTGAGCAACTTGATTTTTTTTTTCCTTTTTAAACTTATCTTTATTGTTGAATGTATTACAGATGTCTCTCCATTTTCCCCCCTTGACCCCCCTCCTATTTTCCCCACACTATTGTCTATGTCCATTGGTTATGCATATATGCATATAAGTTCTTTAGTTTCTTTCTTCCCGCCCCACCTCCCCCATTCCCTTTGAGATTCCTAAGTCTAACAACCAATTTGTAGTTCTTAATGCCTTCATCTTTTCCCCCATCCCCCAATGCCCCTCCCATCTGGCAACCAACAAGAGCAACTTGATTTTTTTAAGTTCCCCTCACTATACCCTTAAGTGGATGTCTACTCTGGGATTCTTTCCCAGTTCTAAAATGAGATAACAAAGAAATTTCCTATATAAGACCTTATACAAAAGAACAGAAATATAAGAGAAGGAATGTATTAGCTCTTGAATCCTTGTTTCCATTTGCTCTCAAAAGTGCTTCTAATGTTCAATTTTCTCTTTAAAAAAAAGTATTGATTTAAAAGGGCAAAAAGTATAATCATCTGTAGCATTTAAACAAATATAAAGTTAGTGAAAAATTGAAACTGAAAAAAAGAATATTAATTTTTTTAAGTTATATAATATCATTCACCATAGTAATAATCTGATACTTTCGTATAAGACTTTAAAATAAAGATTTACCAACAGGTAGAAAATCTTTCTTTGCTATCTTGAGACAGCCCTTGGGGAAATTTTTACCACCATGTTTGTTCATAACTTGAATGTTAATTTAAAGATATGTCACTCCATCACCTAACTGAGATGTCTTTTATAAAGGTAACTTAATGGGGAAAAGAAAAATGCCACATTGCTTCTTCCTCTCAAGGGAAAAAAAAAAAGAATTCCTGAGGGGGTTCTCTCTCTGTCTCTGGTCTATCTATCTATCTATCTATCTACATATATAGCCAACAAATATTTGATATCAAGATCTTTTTTCCTCTTTTTACTGGTTCATTTATTCTCAGTGTGATTTTCAAAATGTCATGCCCTCACATTTTATTCATTCATCAAGGAATAATTGAGTACCTGAATGTATTGAGTACCTTTCAGACCTAACGGAAGATGCAAAAGAAATATAAGACAGCCTCTGCCCTCCAGAATCTTTCCATCTCTTCCAGGGGGCAAGGTAAAACACAATATATCATGAAGTAATTTATGACGAGTGCCAAAATCCATGTACAGGTAACATGCATTTCACATTTATGTAGAATTTCAGAGCTTCAAAACACTTTCCTGTATTTAACCCTCAGAACAATCTTGCTACATACATATTATTACCCCAATTTAGCAGTAAGGAATCTGAGATCCGGAAGTTTAAGTGGCATGCCTCCATCAAATAGATTGAGTGAAAGCGTCAAGACTCAAGCCAGGATTTACTAATTCTAAGCCCGGTGCTCTTGTCAATACCGCACAGGAGAGCAAGGACTGGGGTCCTTAACAGGGCAACAGCCGGCCTTCGGCTAGAGCTGGAATTAAACCAGACCTGATAGGATGTCAGGAAAATACAAAGCCATCTGGGTGTCCAGCCAAAGTCCAAGTTAATTTTATCATGAAAATATTTATACTTCAGTGCTATACACGCAGCACAATTACCATTTCCTCCGTTTTAGTGCCTTTCCCTCCTGGATAAGAGCTTTGCTCTCAGAAATCGGGATGTCAGATAAAATTAAAAGCTGGCCTAGAGGGTTCATGGAAATCTTAAATCACAGATAATAAATCTTAAGGTCTAGTTTCCGCTAATGCTTACACATTTTGTTTCCCCTCAGCACCGGAGAACGTAACTCACTCCCACCGGAGCTTTTCTAGCATTCTTGCTCCAAATAACTACTTATTTTTAGATGTCAATGACTGACCCTACCCCAAATACCACCCCAGTGTTGCTCCCCGACCCCAGCCCCCCAGACACCCCCGCCTCCCTCCCAGTGGATACAATACCTAGTTCAGGTTCTGCAGGTGCGGTCGCGGTGCTGTCACCAGCACTGACAGATAAGGTTGACCTTTCGACTCTGTCCTTGGGTATCTCCGCTGGTCGCGCAGCGCAGGTCCAACCCCGGGAAAGGGGCTCCCGCCTCGGGCACGCAGCCACGGGCAGCGCACGGTCCGAAGCAATGTCTCTGACAAGTAGAACGAGGCTGGGCGCCCGGGCGTGCATCACTGCGCCCCATACTCCTGCCAACTGCAGGGGACTCGGGCTGACAACCAGTCCATCCCACCTCCCAGGCAAGTCCGGCCCAGCCGGACCTTACGCAGGACCCGGATGACAGGTCGTTGGCAACGACCGCAGCAGTAAAAAACAGGGCCACCCGCCCCCAGGGTCCATCGCCGCCAGCCTAAGACCTCCTGGACTGGACCGCAGAGAAGCGTTTCTATGGAAACCCCAAGGGATCACGTGACTCAGCTGTACGCCCAATTGCCTCTTACCTCTGTCCGCGGCACCACTTTGTGCCCTCCCTTCTGCCCCGCCCCTCCCGCCCCCGCCTCCTTTGCTCCGCCCCGCCCTTCCCTGCGGACACTTTGCGCCTGCGCACTGCGTCCAGCGCGCTCCCGCCCTCGCGCGCGCTCCCGGGGGAAGAGCCGGGGCGGCGTGGGAGGCTCGAGCAGGATGAGAACCTGAGGAGGAAGGAGCGTGGCCAGCGCGCAGGCCCAGAACCGCCCGAGCGCCGGCTGCGGGCGACGCCCCAGAGCGGAAGAGGGAAGTGGAGGCACCAGGCTTCGGGTTCCTGCGGGGCTGGGCTCGCTGAGGTACAGACAGCTCCTAGAGGAGGCCTTCGCCGCCGCTCCGGATCGAGGATGTCGAAGAACACGGTGTCGTCGGCCCGGTTCCGGAAGGTGGACGTGGATGAGTATGACGAGAACAAGTTCGTGGACGAGGAAGATGGGGGCGACGGGCAGGCCGGGCCCGACGAGGGCGAGGTGGACTCCTGTCTGCGGCAATATCCTTGCACTCGCCGACCCCCCACCCCACCCACCCGGCCCTCCTCCCGCGACCCCGCGCTGCAGGGCGGCGGCGGCGCCTGGGACCTCTGCCTGGGGCCCCCATTCCGGCTGGGACCTGTGTCCGTTTCTCATCGGGGCGCCCCGAGACCCCGGGGACCCGCCCTCGGACACCACCCCTGCAGCGCACCTTCCGCGCCCCGAGTCCTCAGGTCGCGCGGGTCCTGCCTCCCGCACCCTGGCTCTGCGAGCCGCGCCCTCGCGGCGCCGGGCCGGCACCTGGCTCCCCGGGACTGACCGGGGCGCCGTTCCGGGGTCACATTGGCCCCAGAAATGTCTGACGGGAAGGAATGGGCGTCTTTCTGTAGTTAACTCAGTTTTTGTTGCGATGTTTTGTTCTGGTAGCGTGAGGATAGTTGATTCCTTGCCGGGAGAGAGGGGGCGGTTTGCAGAATGAGGCCCCTCTGTCCTTCCAGCCTGGGGTCCTTTTTTTTTAAGGTATTTGGCAAAATACAAGTTGCACAAAATTGGTTAACCGTGGGGAGGGGTGTAAATACAAAGCAAGCGAAAGTCCGAGATGGAAGCTTGGAGGCTTTGCCCGCCGCGCAAAGGACGGTAGCGAGAAGACGGAAGGCAGCAAGTGGAGAATTCCTGGAAATGGTTCCAGTAAACCCCAATGAATGGAATAGAAGAAGATGAGCCATTTGTCCAAAGCAGAGCCATTTCTGCAATCCTGAAATCGTTACCATTTCTGTTGAAAGGTGGCTGTCAGTTCCTGGGTTTTGTTTTTGAATATTTGAATATTCATAATTCTGCACATTTGCATCAGATCCTTTTTTAGAAAAGTGTAAATGTTGCAATAACCAAAGCTGTAATTTTAAAGATTCTCAAATACTGAATCCACTCATTTCTAATTATTCTTGGGTGTATTCATAAGGAAAGCTTTGCAGACTCTTTCCTCATCAATATCCTATTCAATTATAAAAGGTAAATAGATGAGTGACAATATTTCGTAGGAACTGTATTTGGTCTTAAAGGCACCTAAAATACAGCTTTAAACATTTATCAACGTACAGATGCTTCTTTGAGTTCCACAACCTTCACAGTCAGCTGTTGCTACTTTGCATTATTTAAATACTTAAGTGTTTGGGGTCTTAAAAATGAGCCAGTCTACGAAAGGCCTGCTTCTCTAGAAGTCGATTAAACCTTGAAAATAACAGCTTACCACCAACCATAGTTTTTTTCCTTTGGAAAATAAGTGGTGAACATTATTCTGTCTAAAAACATTCTTTATGATGAATGAATGATGTTTTCGAAGCCGACTTATTTTAGATGATACGAGATGACTCTTAGAGTGGATCTGCTTATAAAGATAGTCTCTTCTGCTTTTGTTACAACCAGAAGAGACGGATGCTGGTCAGGCACCACAGATGGAGGAACAAGTGAGCTCTGTGTGGTTTTCCTTTTAGGGGAATGACTGTACATTCTGACAGTCTGATTGGCCTTCCGTGTCTCATACATGCTAACTCACTGGTGCTTTCAAAGAGAAACTAAATTTAATAGGTATGGCCTAAGACAGTGTGAATAACCTTGTGAAATATGAGAGAAAATATCCAAAACAGAGTTAAGTCACCTAAGGGTCATTGACTTATATGTTCTCTAATGCCTCTTTTCATCCATACTGAGAGATGACTGACATATGTCATTCATATTGCTAGAGTAATCTACCAGCATTGTCTACCATCATTTCAATTAATATAGAATATAATTCTAGCAAAAGTTTGATATTTATTTTTCCAGTTAGAATCATATAAAAAGACATGTTTTGATTGAGGTTAGGCTGTTTAATTTGAGGTCCTAATAATCATGATACATAGTTTATAGAGTTTTATTATAAATGTCACTGAATAATATTTCCACATGTGTCTTACTAGAAAATGAGAGGTTAGCAAGATGTTCATTTGATAATTAGAACCAAAGAGGAAACTGTCTTTGCTTTATTAGAAAAATAATCACATGTTCTTTTTTGTTTTCAGTATTTTATCTTTGATTGACATACTTGAAAGCAACATGTTGAATTTTTTCAATATTGAGCATAGTGACCATAGTAGTTTTTCTTTCTGTGCATAAAGTCAAGTCTTAAGAACCAGTGGTAGTTACAGTGCTTTCCTGAGGGCTGCCCTTTGCTGCTATCCCCTTAACCTCCATCACAGGAAACATGACAGCCGCCCTGCAGGCAGCTCTGAAAAACCCCCCTCTCAACACCAAGAGTCAGGCGGTGAAGGTGAGTCACAAATAACAAGTGATCTCTGCTGGTCTCCTGGTACACTCTTACCAAATCCTCTAGTGTCACACAGTGAGCAGATATTTGAACTAGTTGCTCTCTGTGACTGACATAAAAGAGCTTATAGTGCAGTTTGATAGATTAAAAATTTACATGTGAAAAATAATACTCTCAGATCGAGTTATGATAATGCTGCCTGGAAGACACACTGAATTCAAATGACAGAGATCATTTCTGTGTGTTTTTAGAGGAGGCCACAGGATGGATTTGAGGAAAGGCTTGAAGAATAAGTAAAACTTTGCCCTGGCCAGTTTGGCTCAGCGGTTAGAGCATCAGCCTGCGGTCCGGAGAGACCCAGGTTCGGTTCCCGCTAAGGGCATGTACCTCGGTTGCAGTTTGTCCCCGGCCCTGGTTGGTCGTGCGAGTGGCAGCCACTCGATGTGTCCCTTTCACATCGAGATGTTTCTCTCTCTCTCTTCCTCTCCCTCCCTCCCGCTCTATCTGAACAAAAAATGGAAAAATGTCTTCGGGTGAGGATAAAAAAAATAATAATAAGTAAAACTTTTACAAAATAAACAGATCTACTAATTTTCTTTTGAAAGATTTTGTAAAGTTATACAATATTTATTATAGAAAAGTCAGATGTAAGGGATAAAAGAGGTAATCACCCAAAATCCCACCACCTTCAGATCATAGTTATTACTTTTGGTTGTTGCTAGAGACTTACACAGTTTTTCTATGAGTGTTTTTTTTTAAAATAAAAATGGAATTTTATAACCTACTTTTTTCAATTGTATAGCAATATATATGAACATTTTTCCTAGGCAAAATGTTTTTATTTCTATAACATCTTTTTTTTTTTTTTTTATCTATCCTCACCCAAGGACATTTTTGCATTATCTTCAGATAGAGGAGGAGGGATAGAGGGAGGAAGAGAGAGAAAGAAACATCGATGTGGGCCGAGGACAAACCACAACTGAGGTACATGCCCTTAGTGGGAACTGAACCCGGGACCCTGCGGTCTGTGGGCCGACGCTCCAACTGCTGAACCAGACCGGCCAGGGCTCTAACATCTTTTTTAATGGCCACTTAATAGACATGCTGCAGTTTATATATAACTAATCTCCTTTAGTCATGTATTTAGAGTATTGCCTTTTTTTTTTCTTATTGTAAATAGTACTGACGTGAACAGTTTATGGTAAGTTCTTAATTTCCTTTGAATAAATTCCTAGAAGTGAAGCGCTGGATTTTAGGATGTAGCTTTTAAGGCTTTTGCTATATATGGTATTGCCAGAAAAGTTGTGTGACTTACATTCCCTGTAGCAGCCTTTCATAATTCTTCAGAAACTATTTACTTCATTTATTGTTTTAAAAGAGGCCTAGAGCATTAACCCCATTATTTGTAGCTATTCATATATCCTAGGAACCCCAAGACTCTCCTTAGTTAAATAGTAGTAAGTAATAACTAGGTAAATGCATAATAAGTATTAGGCAACATAGTTTTTTATAAGCAGAAAATGTCTTGGGTTTTTAAAAATTGTGAGGAACATCATTGAAATTTTCACTTTACCACCTGCTTTTATATGAGTGGTTTTTTAAATCACAGCTTGAGGGTGGGAGGTTATAGCTCTGGAGGCAAGGATGTTTTTCTAAATTGGTGATTGCAGAGTCTTTAAACTGAAGGTAACAATAGATGGTAGAAACATTCTGTAAAATGTTTCTGACCAGTATTTATGCCAAAAATATCACTTTATTCTGAAAAGAAGGAGAAATGAATTATTGAAAGGGTAAATTTAGTGTTCCCTCTGCTTGGCTTGATGGGTAAAAAAACAACTTTATTGTTGGAACAAACTTTTATCAAAAAAGATTATTATAAATGAAGGTCACTATGTCTTACATCTATAGTCTCTTGACTATAGACATGAAACTTAAAATAAGTTTTATTAATAACTTATTTCTTAAGGATGGATCAAAGCAGATTTTTAAAAATCTGGATTGAACAAATTGGTAAATTATCACATCTATCTCTACTTTAAATATGTCAAGGATTGTATACTTTAATTTAGTTAATCCTCCCCTGAGGATATTTTTCCATTGATTTTTAGATAAAGTGGAAAGGAGAGAGGTGAGAGAGAGAAACAGAGAAACATCTGTGTGAGAGGGACACATCAATCGGTTACCTCCTGCACAAATCCGACCAGAGCCAAACCTGCAACCCAGGTATGTGCCCTTGACCAGGAATCGAACACATGGCCCTTCAGTCTCTGGGCCAACACTCTGACCGCTGAGCCAAACTGGCCAGAGCATATCTGTCCACTTTTGACCACCTCCATTGCCACCATGCTAGCCAAAACCAGCCTATATTATTGCAATAACTTCCTAACTGGTCTTTTGCCTTGTCCCCGGTACCACCCACCCTGCCCCAACTTATTCCCAGCTTGGCAGCTAAGGGATCCTGTTGAAATGTAAGACAGATCATGTCACTGTTCTCAGAACCATCCAACATTATTTCTCTGAGTGAAAGCCAAAGTCTCCACAATGGCCTGCAGGGCTTACTGACCTGTCTTCCACTACCTCTCACTCTTTGTCCCGCTCTTCTCCCACCACTCTGCCCCAGGCCCTTAGGTCTTCGTGCTGCTCCTTGAACACAAACTAACAGCACTCATCTTTCCTCGTCTGAAATACTTTCCTCGGGTATCCCCACAGTTTCCTCTTTCATGTCACCTCAGTGTGGCCTTTGTAAAACTAACTCCACCCACGTATGTCTAAATGTTCTGTTGTTTATTTATCCTCAGGATCGGGCAGGCAGCATTGTCTTGAAGGTGCTCATCTCTTTTAAAGCTAATGATATTGAAAAGGCAGTTCAATCCCTGGACAAGAATGGTGTGGATCTGCTAATGAAGTATATTTATAAAGGCTTTGAGAGCCCCTCTGACAATAGCAGTGCTGTGTTATTGCAGTGGCACGAAAAGGTAAGTTATGAATTAGAAATCTATGTGACTGGTTCCTTTATAGGAGAGAATAACAGTGACAACCCCTCCTGCCTAAATAATTTTGACTTCTTGGCTATACATCTGTTATTACAAATAAATGCACGCAAAGTTTCAATTTACGCTTACTAGCCTTGGTCTTTATTTTTATCCTCACCCGAGGACATTTTTTTCCATTTTTTGTTCAGGTAGAGTGGGGGGGGGGGGAGAAACATCGACGTGAAAGGGACACATCGAGTGGCTGCCACCCGCACAACCAACCAGGGCTGAGGACAAACTGCAGCCGAGGTACATGCCCTTAGCGGGAACCGAACCCACGCCTCTCTGGACCACGGGCCGATGCTCTAACTGCTGAGCCAAACCGGCCAGGGCTAGCCTTGGTCTTAAGAGAATTGATTTGCAGCACTTTTATTTAATGATTATTGTTTAGTAAATATAATCTTGAACTGTGAACTAAATCAAATCTTGGAAAAGAAAATAAGTAATAAAAAATCAAGAACTCAATGGCCAAGGGTGAAAACAACTCACGTTGTTTTGTTTGTCTGCTCATCAACAACAGATGAGCAGATAAACAAACTGTGGTACGTACATACAATGGAATAAAATAGAATTTTTTTCATCCAAAAAAAGGAAGATCTGATACATGCTACATCATGAATGGACCTTGAAAACATTATACAAAGTGAAATAAGCCAAACACAAAAAGACAAATACTGTGTGATTCCACTTATAAGAAATATCTAGAGCCCTGGCAGCCACTCGATGTGTTCCTTTCACATCGATGTTTCTCTCTCTCTCTCTCTGTTCCTCTCTCTCCCTCCCACTCTACCTGAACAAAAAATGGAAAAATGTCCTCGGGTGAGGATTAAAAAAAAAAAGAAATATCTAGAATAGGCACATTCATAGAGACAAAGTACCAGGGGTTGGGGAGAAGGGAGAATAAAGAGCTGATGTTTAATGGGTACAGATGTGTTTGGGCTGATAAAAAAATATTCGAAATAGATAGTGGTGAGGTCCGTACAATATTGTGAATGTATTTAGTGCCACTGAATTTGATATCTAATGATGGTTAAAAGTGGCATATTTTGTTATATATATTTACCACAATTTAAAAAAAATTGGGGGTGGATCAAGAATTTGTAAATATTTTTTACTGTTTTCATGCGTTTTATTTTGCAGTGTAAGCAGGTGCCAGTACACTATCCATCAAAGAAAAATGGGTAGAAGGGATTTTACTTTAAGTAAAAAGTGGTAATGTTTAATACCCAACTCTTATATTGCTGTAAATATTAACAATGTAACATTTAAATAGAACCAACCACAGGTAAGGACTATATTCTGTAACATCTTACAGTTCCCCAAACTCAGTTTTTCAGAAGCTATTGTCTTTGTATCTGAGTGAAAATTCACACATGTAAGACAAGAACAGCTAGTAAAAATTGTTGCTCAGCCTCAGCCGAGTCACATCAAATAAAAGTGCTAACATTTATGGGTAGGATAACCATAACTCCCAGTTTTCTCAAGATAGCCCCAGTTTATACCTGTTGTTTCAGTATAATCATGAATGGTTCCGTTTCACTCTGGGTACCATTTTGGAGAATAATTTGTATAGTCATCCTATTTATGGAACTTTTTCTGTTTGCCAGCCACTGTACTATTATGTTTCATTCAATCTTTATAACAACTCTACCAGGTATATAAACCTTTATCATCCTCAATTTACAGGAGAAGAGCCAGCTTTAAAACCTAACCAACCTAGTTCCAGTATAGCCTCGGGATCATAGCAAACACTACTTGAGCACTTATTATATTCCAAGCACTCTTCCAAAGTACTTTATAAATAATAACTCATTTAATCCTCATAAAAATACTAGGAGGGAAAGCTTGATATTCCCTGTTAGTAGATGGCAAAATTGAGGCACATATTAATTCATCATTTCTTCCTAATATCAGGCACCAGTTTTTTGCCAGCCTTATCTCCTAAGTACTTTCCAAATCATCCGCCGAGATACATCTTCAGTGTAACTGTTCGCAGCATCTTTCCCAGTTCGTTCTGTCACTTCCCAAACCGGCCTCCCAGCTACCAGTTTTGCCTCCCTCAAATCCATTCTCCACCCAGTCACCAGAGTGCTCTCTCTAGAATCCAGATCTACCCTTGTCAGTCACCTGAAGAATAAAGTCCAGGTTCCCCAGTCCAGCCTCATCTTCCTGTTATTCTTCCCCTTATGCTCTGGCAGGACCTTCCTTTTCCCTTAACACGCTGTAATGTTTCACACCTCTATACCTTGCTCATGATTTTCTCTCTACCTGAGTGCCTCCATACCCTTCTATGTCAGTCTATCACCTACTTACCCATTTATTGTATCATTTTCTCCAGGAAGCCTTACCTGACGAGTCTATAGTTCTCTCTACCCTCAGGCTAGGGATGTGCCTTCCTCTGCTCTTATAGTACCCAAAGCATAGCTCTGTCTTCCCAGTAGACCAGAAAATGCTGTATTTATTCACTTTTGTATCCCCAGCATCTAGCACAGTACCCAGTACACAAAGGTATTCAGTAAGTGTTTTTGGAATACAAGTATACTAGAGCTTCAGATTTGTAATGTTTAATCATGACTCTCAGTTTTTCAAGGTAAAGTCCAAGTTCTTAGCTATTAAGTAATCATTCTTAGTTTGGGAGAAGAAAAATGTGACAAATCTTGACTGACTAGATGGAACTTAGGTTGGTTTATCCCAGCTTGAATCTCTCCCGACAGTGCCAGAATAAGAGCAGAATCCATGTCCTAAATTTGTATTTGAGCACGTTTTAGGCAAGAACATTATGCTGTAGATCTTTAAGAACATACCGTTAATTGAAAACATCATACTAGACTGTAAATTAGTATCTCACTAGAATGTAAGCACACGAGGTCAGGGACTCTAAAAGTTTTGTTTATTACTATTCCCCAGTGCCAAGAACAGTGCCTGGTACATGATAGGTGCTCAAGAAATATTTATGAAAATCAATGAATTCAAAATCAATGGCTGCAACAACCTTCTTTAAGAAACGTGTTTACCTTGGTCTGATAATTGATTCTTTATGATTTCATCAACATTTACATTTGGTTCGTTTTCAGGCACTTGCTGCTGGAGGAGTGGGGTCCATTGTTCGAGTGCTGACTGCCAGGAAAACCGTGTAGTCCAGCAGGGACTGGGTTATCTTCGTGGGCGTCGGAGTTGCTGGTACAAAGACCAAAACAACCAAATGCCACCATTGCCCTTTGGGTAGCACCTGTTTCTCTCAGCTTTGCCTTCTTGCTTCCTCTTTCATATCTGTAAAGAAGAAAATTACATATCCATTTTCCTTTAATGAAAATTGGGATAATATAGAGGCAATTTTTCAACAGGAGTGTTTCACGCTCTCAAAACTATTTCTGTAATGTGTATACCAGTCTGTACATAATATAATTTACATTCAGGTTTAACTGTGCAGTTTTCAACCTCTATTGGCTTGTGGGTTTTGTTTCGCTGTTTTTTGGTTTTTGGTTTTGTTTTGCCTAATAGTGATTCATTTGATGTCAATTTGATGACAATTTCCTAACTCAGTGCTAGCCAGGAAATGATCGTTATTAAAAATATGTTTGAGAAACTGGCAGCTGTCAACATGGTAAAACTGGACCATGCTTCCCTTATTTAAGCAAAATGTGTTTCTGGCACAAGTGGTTGATGAACGCCACTGTCAAGTTCTAGCTTTGTTTCTGCTTCTCTCCAGATTACGTGAGTTTAAGTATGCTTCTCTTCTCTGCATCCAACGATCATGGCCTCTCGGTTTCTTTGTGGTCACCAGGGTCCAGAGCAAGGAGTCTTGCTCTATACTAATGTTTCTGTGAGATACCAGAGCCTGTTGGGAATGCTCAACAGACTTTGGTTCCAATAGTACGGCCCTGTTTGGGAAAACACATCAGAAAGGACGTGGAAACTGATGTAGTTCAGACTCTGGCAGCCTTTGAATGAAATGCTTTTTTCCTTAGAACTATAGTAGCTGCCTTAAAATGATGAGATAATATAACTAGTATTTAACATGCCCTATAAATGTCTTCAGTGTTCTTCAGGGTAATTGGGATCTCAAAAGATTTGGTTCAGATCCAAACACATACACACTGTATTTTAGCTTAATGTTTTTTAAAAAAAGAAAATGCCACACAGCAAAAAGTGTTTACTTTGTTGGACAAACCAAATCAGTTCTCAAGAAAATGACTGGTGCTTATCAAAAGTTGTTATTTAGTAGCTCCAAAACCAACCACCTGAATGCATCTGACCAAGAGGAAAATCTGCCTGTTTAGTATTTACATTGGACACCAGTTTCATAATCACTGACCTATGTGAAAACTGGTACAGGAATTCTGTAAACTCTTTGCTGTTTTTGATACCTGCCTTTTGTTTTGTAAAAATGATAAAGTTCAAAAAATAAAATGTCAGTGTTGAATAATTTATTTTTCTAACTCTTATTTTATTACTTATGAATGTATCATTATTTAAAGGGAAGGATTTCCTGTTTTACCACCAGATTATTGAGCTCTTGACAAGAACTAGTGTGGTACAAAAGGTTTCTAAAGCCCTGGCCAGTTTGGCTCAGCAGTTGGAGCATCGGCCTGCAGACCAGAGAGTCCCAGGTTCGGTTTCCGCTAGGGGCACATACCAAAAAAAAAACCAAAAGGTTTTTAAAACTACTTTATTCAAAGATAAAGTAGCAGAGAAGAGGAGTCACTAATGACGGCAGAGCACTGCTGAAGCCTTTGGAGTGAGTCCATAGCTCTCGGTGCAGCCGAACAGCCGTGTTCCCACTGCCCAGAGACCCAGACTAGGCCATGGACACAGCAACAGTGTGGTGAAGGCAGGGGTTGCGGGTGGGCTGAGGGGAGGTGGGACCTCTGCAATAGTGTCAACAACAACAAGACCTGGACTAGAATGTGCAAATTGGCCTAGCAGCTACGGTCATTTATGTCCAGCTTCTGAAGTGTTTCTGACACCTCAAATCTGTTTCTTTTTTTTTATTACAGAAATGTACATTTAATTAATTCTAAGGAATGTATGACAATAGTGTTAACATATATTTCCTCAACTTCACAAACTTTCCATCTTTAAGATATCTACAATAAAAGTTTACTTACAAGTTTCTTAAGAAATCACTTCACCAATACTGTTGACACAGTTAGGATGTAACAGTCTCACTTTTTTTTTCAATTTACTCTGTACTTGTAGAAGGAACACAGTGTGCGGGTGAAGTTCCATCCCAGGGCTGGTGACGGCCCGTAGAGCAGAATGAGAGGTGCAAACGGATAGAGGAGAATTACTGTATTTTTCAAAAATGGCAATGCACTGTATTCCAGGACGGTTACAAGGATGTAATAGTTAGCAGCAATCAACCATAAGGTGTTTCCAACCAAATATCCAATGAATGTGTCTGTTAGAATGACACGGTTGATGAAAAGAAGTTGGATAAAGTGCAGAATGACTAGGAGAGGATGAAAAGCGTTCAAATGCACATCGAAGGCATAGCCCCACTCCACGCCATAGTCTCTGCTCTGCCTTTTCACCAAACACTTGTGAGAGAGAAACCACACTAGAGCTGAGATGAGAAGACCAACGCCTATTCAATCTATGAATACAACCCAAAGGCAAGCTTTGTCATCTTAGAAAATCCCATGTCCAGCACAAAGCCAAATCCTACAGCGGACACACACAGCCAGATGCTTAATAGGACCAAGAAAGCTGGGTCACCTCTGGCCCACTGATTCTTTGTCTGCTTTCGATAGTGAAAGTTTCTATAAACCCTCTGCGGGGACGTGAACAGGTAGAGAGAGCATCTGCCAGGCAGCAAACTCATAGTCCATTTGCTGGAAACGAAAAAGGCTTCTCAAGTGTTTGTAGCGCTTTGCTCCTGCTGTGTGTCTTGCTGCATCTCTGGAATTCAACACTCCGTTCCCCTGCACTGGGGAACTCCCTGAAGTACTTGGTAGCATCTTCCTGGGGGCCCCCTGCGGCCTCCACGGGCTGCAAACTAGCCCGCCACCTCGGCCAAGCAGCCACGCCGAGCAGCCGTTGGACTACCTTTCCCTTCCCGAAACGTAGACCTCAAGTCTGTTTCCTACCCCTACCTGCTCAGAGCAACCTGTGTGCTCTCCCACTGCACCTCATTCCTGCGGCAAAGCTTAGAAACGTACCGCCAATCCAGAGAGCTGTGAGGTATGAGGAGCTGAGCCATATGAATTAGAGGGAGTCAAGAAGGTATAGCCAAACCACTTACAAACTTTAAAATGAAAACAGAAGTGATATTGAAACACTTTTTCATAAAATCCTTCTGAATGTCATTTTCAACACTGTAGCACTGTGGGAAACTCTGAAGTTTTCTGTTTTACAGTCACAAGAATGGATGTATTCAGAATCTGCCAGTCCATCAGCTTCACTCGGGAGACAGTAAAAATACTGACAACTGGTGCCGCATAGGGACCGAGTCAGAATGGATGCTGCTGGGATCAGCTGGCTCACGGATGCATCTTGCCTGACGTTAGCCCAGATACACCGACCGTGACCCAGGAGTGTCCTGGTGGGAGGAGTGGGCATAGTCAGGATGACTTGTGGGAAAAAGATAAATGTTAGGGAGGACTTTCAGCCCCCAACTGGACCTTTGCCTTCCATTCCCTTCCCTTTTAAGTAAACTCTAACCATAATTGACATTTCAATAATTGATCAAATGGATAAAAGGATAAAAGAATACATACCCATTTTTTTATGGGAGGTGTTTTTGTTTCATTTTAGCCATTATGGTTTGTTTTGTCTTTGCCACTTAAAAAAAATTTTTTTTTTATCCTCACCCGAGGACATTTTTCCATTTATTTGTTCAGATAGAGTGGGAGGGAGAGAGAGAGAAACATCGACATTGCCACCTGCACGACCCAACCAGGGCCAGGGACAAACTGCAACCGAGGTACATGCCCTTAGTGGGAACCAAACCCAGATCTCTCAGGACTGCAGGCCGACACTAACCACTGAGCCAAACCGTCCAGGACTGTCTTTGCCACTTTTTAAAGGGGGACAATGACACTACACCCTGTTTTGATCATTAGGTAACAGCACCATTTCTTTTTTTTTTTTTTTTTTTTTTTTTATCCTCACCCGAGGACATTTTTCCATTTTTTGTACAGATAGAGTGGAAGGGAGAGAGAGGAAGAGACAGAGAGAGAGAAATATCGATGTGAAAGGGACACATCGAGTGGCCGCCACCGCACGACCAACCAGGGCCGGGGACAAACTGCAACCGAGGTACGTGCCCTTAGCGGGAACCGAACCCGGGTCTCTCAGGACCGCAGGCCGACGCTCTAACCGCTGAGCCAAACCGGCCAGGGCAGGTAACAGCACCATTTCAATAGCAGTCATACTTGATAGGGAATATGATGATGTCTTGAGGAAATCCATTAACACACAAGTGAAATCAATCCATAGATGGTACAAAGTAGCAAAGTACTTTTTTAAGCATTTACTGTGTTACCCGGGATCATGATGAACATAATAGAAATGTCTGGGCCTTGCTCACAAGTTGCTCGCAGCCTAATTTAGAAGTAAGATTTAAGCACTTTAAAATTGTCATGCAATTTAGTATTTGGAAGTGCAGTTAGTGTTAGGGGAACGGCGAAGTCGGGGTGGACTGGAGTGAAGAGACGGATCAACCTGAGCTAGGCCTGGCGGGGCAGAAGGGACACGGAAAACTGATGTGGACAGAGTGGAAAGAAGCCCAAGTTGGAGCCAATTGTCGCTGTTCCTATGGCTTTAATGTTTTTCCCATGAAGTTCTAAAGAGTGAAAGTTATTTATTAAGAGTAGGCTTTGATAAAGTGTATGAGGAAGATTCAGGAAAGTCATGGGATTATAGAAAATCATTTTTTTTTAGCTGAAACAGACATTGATGGTCACTTAGTCTCACCCCTTTTATAGTCGTAAAAGAATGGGGCATTAATTGTATAAGAAGGGAAGCATCTTAAATTAGTAATCAAGAACCTCCCATGAAAACATGGGTATGAATTCTTTTATTCTTTTATCCATTCGATCATTTTCTTAACATGTCAATTATGGTTAGAATGTTTATTTAAATCAGTTTGTTACCATTGAAACATCAATAGCCCTGCCCCGTGGCCCAGAGTTACACAGATTCATGAAATATGACACTAATAGCAGGAAACCAAAGTCAATTCCTTGGCATGTGGTAGCAATGTGGCTTTTCATTTCCAACGCAAGATTTCGAGTTGGAGTAGGTGGATTAAAACACAAAAGTCACCCTTTAGGGAGCACTCTGTCAGTCCCGTTATATGTTTCATCTTCAGCAATGAAGCTCAGAGAACATATGTAATAAGATCACACGGTTTGTAGGTCCCAGAACCAGAATTTCCACTCACATCTGCCTGACTCCAAGGTTATACCATGCTTCTTCCTCAAGTCCAGTGCTTGGGGGATAAGGATGTTTTCCAGGACAAGTGAGGATCGGGGCTTTCTCTAGAAACCTCAAACCTTAATGCTTGCGGGGTACGGCTGAGAGGTAAAATCCACTCAGAGGTCCCGCAGAGAGGCACAGGGGACAGGGGGAGCAGGCAGAAGCAAGCTTCAGAGAGGGGCTACCAGAGTCATCCTCAGCATGGTGATTTGTTCGCCGCGACTTTTACTTGCCTTTTTAATGTGGTGAGGTTAGAGATCGACACCCATCACCTTTATAACTCCATGAGTAAACTGACTCCTGAGGGTTTGGCTTCTCGAAGCATGCAGTTTCTCTTGAGTCTTGCTCTTTACCCAATATTTTTAGTAGGGTCTCTGTTTTCCATGTTTTTATAGATGATGCATTTTAACTCCGACTTCTATTTTCATTAGTTTCGCCATAATTGCATTTAGCAAGAACCAGAGCTGCAGTCTCTAATTTCATTAGCCAGGCTGAATAGATTATTGGCCGTAACTAAAAAATGACTTGCTTAATTAATTCCTAAGAATCACTTTGACCACCTTCACTATAATCGTCTGAGGCTCCATTTTAGAGAGACCTCACACTGGAAGCTTAGCTCCCTGTCCACCCTTCTGGAGGGCCCTCACGTTCTGGTTTCAAAGCCAAGTGATTGGAGGTTTTGCAGGGAAAATCCTGAGAAATGCAGGATCCCTGAGATAACTCTGGACTAGAAGAAATCGGGTTCAAAAGCATAGACCAGTGTGGATAAGGACCCCAGGCACCATTCACCAGGCGCCAACCTAACCACACACATTTGTGTTCTTTGTGTGTGGTGCCAGCACATGACACCAGCCTGTGGTTGGCTCGCATGGGTCAGGATAGGTTCTAACCTGCGGTTGTCCCCCTTTGCCCTTCCCGCTTGTTTTTATTTGCCTTGCATCTGTTCCTTTCCCTCATTCGTTTCTTAATATTTTCCCCTCTCTTCAGTC